ATAGCCACTCTAGGAGTTTCCTGGTACTTCATGGTGATTCTAATTTCCATTTCTAGAGTGACAGAGCAAATCACGATGGGATTGAATAGCAGGAGAATCAGAGAACACGTACGTAAAAATTGGACTATAAAAGATCAGGTCTGTCCTTCTAAGGAGTTTGTATCGATTCCTGAAAGGTTGTAGGGAAACTTGAGGTTTCTAGACACATCCTTCTGACTACAGTAGAAAGATCCCTTAGAAGAGCTTGACATTTGAGGCAGAAAGAGGGTGGGAGCTGTTCCATTTGAGACAAAAAGGGATTAAGGGGTGACCAAGTCCGCCACCGTAGAAGGAGTTCAAACAGGCAACTGCTGATGCCCAGGCTGCGTTGACATATGTAGGAAAGCTGCCATTACATGGGAAGGAGTCCTGTTTCATCAGTAAATCCGAAATGAGTGTCAGGCTGCCTACTGATGAAACCCAGGCAACCTTTTCCATTTCCTAGAAGACTTGGCTATTTGTACGAAGAGCTTAGGAAGAAAAGGGCACTACAGGGGAACTATGGCATAGCGCACCTCCCCCCACCCTTTTAATACAAGACAGGACAGAAGAGGAAAATCAAAGAGATGTGATCCTAGTGGCTTATGTAAATACTCACACCCAGCTGTTCTCATAAAACATGCATGAAGCCAACGACAGGGAATGTTTTATGTGCAATCAGAAGGATGTGGCACCTACAGCGGAAATGGTACAGTATCAAAGGAGGGTGGTGGTGGGGGAATGTGATGCTCAACTTGATGGGCAGTAAGATCGTTCCCACCTGCGATGAGAAAGTGCTGCCATAGACGAGGGTAACTAAAAGGCCTCTGCCAGACGAAAGGAAGGAGGAGACCAGAGGGCGAAGCTCCTTATTTCGTGGCCGAATGGGAAGTGGCTGCAAGCTTCCAATCTTTCCAGCCCTTCCACATGGCCTGGGAAGGACGCAGGTGTGGAATCGGTGGCCTCTGCCATGTCCAAAGCTGTCCTAAGAAGCAAGCTCAGCCTAGATAGAGCCACCTCTGCCTTAGCCACAACTGCATAATATCCCCTCTTCTGGATAAGCCATAATTTTATAATTCCCCTATTGTGGGAAGCTGGGTTTTTTAAATTTATTCGCAAACTTGATGCCAGAGAAGTAAATATCTAAGTGTGCTAGGATGAACCAGTTCGAAAAGCTTCCATTGGGAGGCTAAATCTTCAAAATTATGCTCTCTAGGTAGTGGCTTTTTCCAAAGGCCTTCCTGGGCAGAGGGCTGTGGAGTCAGAGGATGCTGGGAATTTGTCGCGCAGCACTGAATAATTAGCTTGATCACAGGCTCCGAATAGCATATGTGGGCTGAGAGGACAGGCTATTCATCCAGAATGACAGGATGCTGGTACACCGGGAATAAATGCCTCTAATCGCTGTCAGGGAGGCAGGCAAGCTGGCTGAGCTAAGCGTTTATTGTCCACTAAAATATTCTAGGGCAGCGTGGCATCCTTCCTCCGGGGCCGCTCTGGGCAGTGTGTGGAGAAGAGGCACGGAGCTGAGTGAGGAGGACCAGCAGGAAACGGCACCTAACTGACCCCTCTCTGCAGAACTTCCTCATGTCCCTCTGGGCTCTTCAGTCCCTCCTGATTTCTATGTGGCTTTACTTGGCAGTAGAAGCTGTCTTTCCCAAGCATTTTATTTTTTAAAAAGACTGTTTTTAAAGAGCAATTTTAGGTCCACAGGAAAATTAAGAAGAAGGTATATAAATTTCCCACCTACCTCCTATCTCCTAACAAACACAACCTCCACCATTATCAACATCCTCCACCCGTGGTACCTCTATTAACGACTGATAAACCTACATTGACACAGGATTATCACTCAGAGACCACAGTTTACATTAGTATTCATTCTTGGTATTATACATTCTGTGGGTTTGGGCAAAAGTATAATGACATGTATCATATATGGGGTATTTTCACTGCTCTAAAAATCCTCTGCTCTATTCACTCCTTCTCTGCTCTTCCTTACCCAGTATTTTTGTTGTTTTCATTAGATTGATGGCTTTGAAAAATGCTGCAACTTTCTATATGAGGAAAGAGAAAGATAGATAGTGTGTGCACACTGGATTGTCTATTTCATCTACAGACCTTAGAAGAGTGTTGTCTTTGTTAGTGAAATAGTGCCCCAGAAACTGGTCCCATCTGCTTAACCCTTCAGAGAATGAATTCTGTGTAAGGAAGTAGGTGTGAGCATGTGGGAGGTGGGTTAGGTGATGGGACCACCATTGACTGGCCCCCTGTGCATGTGTGTTAGTTACTTTTCACTTTGTTATTAATGTTTGTTCTTTGGTCTTGGTTGTTTTTGTTTAGAAAGCCTATGCCTGTGCCTTAATTTTAGTAGGATGTCTACACCATGGGTGATCACTTGGGTCCAAGGCCAACTGATAAGAATCCTGCATTTAATACAACATTCTAACACCGACATTAGCTAGAACAGTTATTTCTTTAATATAGAAGGAAGGCATTTCAGATCCTTGCAGGCCTTCCTCAGGGCAAATCTTGAACATCATTCAGCACTGTTCTGATTATAAATGTAAACGATGAGTTGATGAATATGAATTATGAATAGCAATAATTATAGGTTAGATTATGGTTATTCTGATGATTTCGGTTTTCAGATTTGTTAGTTCGGAGAAGTTTGATATTAAAAGGGTTATTTCTTCCAAATACATCCTACTAATCTCTGATCAGCCAGCCTAGTTTACTCATATATGAAACACTGAGTACCTCCCATGTGTGGGTTAGCAGATAAAACTAGTGCCTATGGGATACTTTGGAGTTTTTAAAGGACCTTCATATTTATCACAGAAGTAAAGCAGATTGGTTCAAAGATGGGTCTCAAAGTCAGACTGACTTAGATTGAATCACCGCTTAAGAGTCATGTGACCTTGGGTAAATTAATATCTGTTTCTCAGTTTCCATAAAAATAGCCCCTTCCAATGGGGTTGTTAATATGAACATTAAATTAGATGATGCATGAAAAGCACAAGCACAGAGCTTGGTAAACAGCAGGCTCTCAACTCAAACAAACAAGGTGATATAGGCACCAGGTAATACTATTTTCCCACTGGGATGAATCAGCTAGGAGGTTAGTGACTTGCTCGTGGTCACATAATCAGCAAAGGACAGAGGCAGGACTGAAATCCAGACTGATTCCTTCACAGCATGTTGAAGGCTGTCTTTATTTAGTACACACACACACACACACACACACACACACACTTATGCATGCACACACATGTACCCACATCAGAATAACAAATGGAAAATGCTTTATATGCTGTTTAGTAACCCTCTTGTCCCCCAGGCCAGTGTGCCAACATTTAAAAAATTTCCCAGATTTGCCCTGCAGTTGTGGCTCAGTTGGTTGAGTGTCATCCTATGAACAGATTCCTAGTCAGGGCACATGCCCAGGTTACAGGCTCAATTTCTAGTAGATGGAATGCAGGATGTAGCCAATTGATATATATCTCTCTCTCTCTCCCCCTTCCTCTCCCTCTGAAAAATCAATAAGAACATATTTTTTAAAAATTGCTGCTAAAATAAATAATTTCCAAGGCTTATAACTGACTTGTTCTTGACAGAAATAAACTTGCTACAGTTTCTTCATCTGCAAGATGGTGCTAATAAAGCTACCTACTACTTAGCATAAGCATTAGTTACATTTTTGCAATGTGCTTTGGATTTCTTGAAGAAAGATGTCACATACGTAGCAAGCATCCCAATAGGATGGTGCACCTATATGATTATTGTGACAGAATGGTATTTGAGTTATCAGCCCCCTGTCAGCATCACTCAGCAGTGCAGTGTCAAGCTCAGCGCTAAGTAATGCTGTGCCCCTGAATGTTGGGTTTCCTCCAATTTTTTTAAAAGTCTTTTTCCTTCCTTCCTTCCTTCCTTCCTTCCTTCCTTCCTTCCTTCCTTCCTTCCTTCCTTCCTTCCTTCCTTTCTTCTTCTTCTTCTTTTTTTTTTTTTAAAGAAAAACAATAGAGAATATGCATGTTTAAAAAAATTCTTGTGGCACACAGGTTGAAAATCGCTGAACTAGAGTAACAGTCAAGATCATTTCTGTTTTAAGTTCCGTCCACGCTCTAAGTTGGAGTGGCTGTTTTCTCTGCATGGAAAACTCTCCAGATCTTTGTCTTCGGGTGGGGGGCTGGCTCAGCTCAAACATCACCTCCTCCAAGAAGTATGCCCTGACCATTCTCATCTCCCTCCCACATCCCTCCTCTGCTATCTCATCACTGTACCCTACCATCCACTTTTCTTTTCTTTTTTTAAAATATATTTTACTGATTTTTTTACAGAGAGGAAGGGAGAAGGATAGAGAGTTAGAATAATCGATCAGCTGCCTCCTGCACACCTCTCACTGGGGATGTGCCCGCAACCAAGGTACATGCCCTTGACCGGAATCGAACCTGGGACCTTTCATTCCGCAGGCTGACACTCTATCCACTGAGCCAAACCGGTTTCGGCTCCATACTTTCTTATTACTCTCTGAAATTACCTTATTCCATTGTTTATCTTTCTAACCCCATTAGAATGTAAGCACCGGGAGCGAAGGAACCACGGCCACAGCATCTCCGGTGTCTGGATTCCTCCCCGCACTGTGCAAGCCCCAGCAAACGTTTGCTGAACGAATGAATAAACGCTTTATTTTCCTCCTTCCCCTTTAAACGCCCTCCTAGTGGACCTATGAATTACCAAGATCGAGGTAGAGGAGGATCGGTATCGCCATTGGCTGGAGTATTAGCCGTTGCTCATGGCAACTACTGTTTTCCAGGAGTCGTGTCAACATCCCGCCTGGCCCCGCCCCTTATCTCCTCGCCCCTCCCAGACAGTCGAGTTTGGCCTGCTGGTAAAACACGATACTTGCTCTTTAAGCGGCGGGACTTCCGGTCAACGTCGTCCGCGGCCGCCGGAAGGGGAAGTTTCGCCTCCGAACGCTCCCCTCGCCCGTCCGAATTCGGTGGCGCCACGTCCATCGGTCTCCGCCTTCTGCACCGCGACCCGGGCGGCTTCCGCCTCGACACCTTCCACCCTCGGAGCCGGCCGCGTCGAGAAGGCGCCGCCGAGACGGGGAGTCGGGCGGCTGTGCGCATCCTGGCTACCTGAGCGGCGAAGATGTCGGACATCGGGGACTGGTTCAGGAGCATCCCGGCCATCACGCGCTACTGGTTCGCCGCCACCGTCGCGGTGCCCTTGATTGGCAAACTCGGTCTCATCAGCCCGGCCTACTTCGTCCTCTGGCCCGAAGCCTTTCTCTACCGTTTCCAGGTACTGACCAGCGACCAGGGGAGTGGAGACTACAGGTCCCAGGCGGGTCGACGGCGGCAGAGCGTAGACCCACAGGGTACGAGTGCGCGATGCCTCCTGGGATTTGTAGTACGACTACTCCAGCGGTTTTAGGGCGGGGTCCTAGGATAGTGGGGGGCTAAGGGGCAGCAAAGGGATCTGGAGCAAGGGCCTGGATTCCTGAGGCATGGAGGCTTGGATTTGGTCCGGCTAAGGGGCTCATTTCGTCCTTCTATTAAGATTGTGCTCCCCGCACTCTGCAGTCAGAGAAGGAGGCAGTGGGAAGGGAGGTTTGTGATAATTGTCAACCTGCTGGACGCTGGTGATTAACAGCGTGGGTTTTACCTGAGAGCTGGTGCCCTCTGACCTTGCTTTGCTACGTGGGTGGCTGTGGCTGTCACCTTACCCAACATCCATCTGAGTTCTTTTTATGTTAATGAAGTGGGTCTCTTGTTTTTGTTTTTGCTTTCTTGTAGGAGTAATTTGAGGTCAGAGGTGCAGAGAGAGAGAGTTTGTCTATCTGCTTTTTCATGCCCTGTCCTAGTGTCTGGCATGTAGTGTTTGAATATGCAAAGGAATGAGTAAAGAGTTAATTGTTCCAGAAATAGAAGGCCTATTTTTTAAATAGAAGGGTTATTTTTTTAAGCCCAAAGTAAGCAGTCCAGAATAACATTGCTGGCAAGAGACTGTTTTTTGGAGATTGTCTTTACTCACTGGATTCTGTGATTTAAATCTTTAACCAGTGGCAGGTCAGATATTAGGATCTGACATTAATTTCAACATGTTACTTGGCCTGTGGATAATACTTTTGTTGAACCCCCTCTTCACTGGCTGTTTCTTAGTCTTCTTTGCTGGTTCCTCATCTTTGTGACATTTAGATGTTGTGATGAGCCCGAGGGAGCAGGTATAGGACCTCTTCCCAGCTTCCCAGGTGATCTCATTTAGCTTCATGGCCTTAAATACTTTGTATAATACAAACATAGTCATTTTAAGTCCAGATCTGTCTCCAGATGTCCAGACTTGTACATCCAGCCATCTATTTAAATTACTATTTGAGAAATTGGTAAGTATCTTAATCTTAATATGTCCAAACTGAAGCCCTTTCCCCCTTTGCCCTATAAATAAATAGAACGCCATTATTACAGGAGCTCAGGCTAACAATCACAGAGTCATCTTTGATTTCTCTTTTTCTCACACTCTTCAGTCTGTCAACAGATTCTGTTTACTTTAGACATATTCATTTTTCGTTGCAACCATTACCATTCCAGCCAGTTCTTTTCAATCTTTTCTCTAGACAGCTGGAGTGATTCTTCTAAAACATAAATGAAGTCCTGTCAGTCTTCTGCCCAGAACCCTCCAGTGTTTTCTCAACTTGATGAGTGAAATCAAGTCCTTTCAATGTCCTGCACTGCCTCTACCACCTCTGTGACCTCAAATCCTCCTCCTCTCCATTTTGCACATTAGGGTCCTCAGAGGAATCCTAGCTGTTTCTTAAGTAGCTAACTCGATCTCTCTCCCAGGCTGTTTGCACACTTTGTTTCTGCTTGAGAGAGATTACCATGGCTTCTCTCTCACCACCTTCCAGTGTTTGCCCAAATGCCACCTTTTTTGGAAAGGCCTTATCTGATTGCTCTTCTTTACTTTGTGTTGCGCATATCGCCTCTTGGCATTTTGTTAGTTCACTTACCATCAGAAAATAAGGCTTATGAAATATTGGTCTTGTTTAACACTACTTTTTCTTTTTTTTTTTTTTACTTAGAATAGTGCCTGTCACATAGCAAGCAGGTGCTTGCATGGACATTATTGAGCTCTGGAGGTACAATTGTGAATCAGACAGAAAAAGTTGCAGTTCCCATGAAGAAAATGAGAGAGAGGCATGTGCTAGAGAGTGACTTACCGGGTGGATCATTTGATAGAGTGCTCCAGAAAAGCCTCAAAAAAGATATCTGCACTGAAATCGGAATGGTGAGGAGCCAGCTTTGGGAAGCTCTGGGTCTGGGAACAATCTTCTAGGAAGACGGAATAATAGTGAGCTTAGAGGCAGAAACAGAAAGAAGACTGGATAGTTAGTTCGGAGTCAGCTGTAAGGATGAGGATTAAAGATGAGGACAGAGATAGCAGGGGTTAGTGCAATAACACGGGAATGGAAAGGTAGGCTGGGGCTATATCATCTGGGGCTTTGTGGTTTGAACTTTGTTTCGAAGACACCCACAAGTCTTTGGAGCCTTGGAACAAAGGAGTGACATGATTGCCTTGACTACTCTGTGAGCCGGACTTGCTATGTAAGTGGGGGAGAGGAAAGAACCAAGTTAAGAAGAGAGGTGGTGTTTTGGACCAGGATTGCTGTGACGATAGAGAAAAATGAATGAATTTGGGAGTTGGACAGTATTGCAGCTGAATGGATATGAAGAGTGAATGGGTGAAGGAAGCAGAACTCTAAGATGTCACTGTTTTCATAGTGGGAGGTGGAGACTTATTCTGAGACTAGAGGCTGGGTGCATGAAATTTGTGCATTGGGGTGAGGTGTCTCTCAGCCCAGCCTGCACCCTCTACAATCTGGGACCCCTCAGATTTCTGTTGGAATCAGGCCTAAACAGACAGTCAGACATCCCTCTCACAATCCAGGATTGCTGGCTCCCAACTGTTTACCTGCCTGATTGCCCCTAACCACTTTTGCCTGCCAGCTTGATCACCCCCTAGCCTGATCGACGCCTAACTGCTTCCCTGTCGGCCCAATTGCCCCTAACTGCCTTCCCCTGCCGGCCTGGTCACCCCTTACTGCCTCCCCTGCCACCCTGGTTGTCCCTAACTGTTCTTCCCTGTAGGCCTGGTCACCCCCAACCTCCCTCCCTACAGGCCTTGTTCCTCCCAACTGCCCTCCCTTTCAGGCCTGGTCCCCCCTCAACTGCTGTCCCCTGCAGGCCTGGTTGCTCCCAACTGCCCACCCCTGCAAGCCTGGTTGCCCCTAACTGCCCTCCCCTGCTGGCCTGGTTGTCCCTAACTGCCCTCCTTTATCAGCCTGATCAACCCTAACTGCTCTCCCCTGCCAGCCTAATTGCCCCCAACTGTCCTCCCCTGCAGGCCTGGTTGCTCCTAAATGCCCTCCCCTGCTGGCCTGATTGCCCATAACTGTCCTCCCCCGCTGGCATCTTGTGTTCACATGGGGGCAGGATCTTTGACCATATTGGAACGGTCATCTTGTGTGTTAGAGTGATGGTCAATTTGCATATTATATCTTTATTATATATGATAGGAGTGGAAATATTTAGGGAGCTTAGTTTGGGGATGAGGGAAGTTCTGGGTGAAGAGTTATCTTTTGAATTTGATGAAAAAACAATTAAAAATTTCCCTTTTCAATCACAGATCTGTGTGAGGTCAGGTTTTCTTATTTCTCAACCAAAACAATATATTGCAACAGGTTGAATGGAGAAGATGTGATAATCTGGTTATCTTCTATGAAGCCAGACGTTAAGGAGAGTTGTAGTGTAAAATGTCACTTAATAATTTTACTTTTTTGAAAAATAGTTTTCATAAAAATTGCTTTTTATATTAACATGTAGGGGATTTATTATTATTATTATCCTAAATAAAAACTTAATTTTCTCAGTGGTTAAAAAAAAGGTTTATGTTTTGGCCATGTTAAGTCTAGAGATACTTTTTAGGCATCCAAGTAGAGAAGTTAAGTAGGCAGTTGGCTATTAGAATATGATTTGGGTCTGCAGCCAGAACTGCATACTGCTTTCTACTTATTTGCTTTGGTACATATTTGTCGACTGATTGAACAATGTTGTACACTTCATGCCTGGTGGCATGTTGGGTGATGTGTGTACAAAAGGAGCAGTGGCTATCAATCATTTTGTGGGTAAGACCCGGTCAAAACTGGCTCTGGACTCTGCTTGCAAAAGCTTGCTCACTTGTCTAGTCAGATTAGTAAGATAAAGCCTTTCTAGTCGACCATAATGTTAAAAAAGGCAAACTGATTAGAAAGTCATTCATGTCACACCTTCCGTGTGTTCCCCATATTCCTGCCTTGCCTTTCTTCTTGAGTGTTTATCTTGAGCCTGGGAGAAGCTGCTGGCAGGAAGCAGAACAATGCACTGACTGGTGTGAAAGGACCAATCCTTTTTGCTCCTGCTGTGATGTGCCCTAGACCAGAATTGAACCGGGACCCTTCAGTCCACAGACTGATACACTACCCACTGAGCCAAAACAGCCAGGGCTCTTACCCATTCTGGACAAGTTTAGCTTTCATCTCCGGAGTCCTGGAGGAACTAGTTTGCAAATGAGAGCTGAGGTGTGAGGACAAACAGCATGTGGTGTGCTTTCTGCTAGAGGCTCATCTTTTCCTTAGAAGCTGGATTTTTAACAGCTTCAAATAAGGATGGGGATGATTGATTTAGTTTGGATAGATGTGTTTAAGACACACTTTGCTGTTGCCCACAGTTCCTAGTCCCTCACACTTAACACCTGACAATCAGATTGTTCACTGTGATCAAATGCCTTCATATTGATCCCTGATTAGCTAGTAGAAAGGTGGCAATTTCTTGTTGCTCTAGTGGTTTCTAAGATTATGTTTCCTGGGGCTTCCTCCACAGTGATAGTTTATTTCTTTGGACAGAATAACATTTCCCTCTTCTATCTGTATTGTGCTTCTCCATATATTATCTCATTGAGCCCCCACAGTCACCCTGAGATATGAGTTAGCCCAGTTTATAGACACCTCCAGTTTCTGTTTCTGTTTCGGTGCGTTGATCTGAGCTCTTGTTTAACTCATTTGCATAATCTCTACCAAAACACAGGGAAATGTTGACAGTATTGAGAGTGATTCCTTCCCAATCAGTCATATCAGATTCTTTGTCTTTTTCCGTTGGTGTAGAAAGACTATGGGATTTCAAGTAGCTGAGTCACGGTCTTTGGGCCTGACTGGTTGAATGCTCTTAGGCAAATTATATACCCTTCCTGAGCCTAAATTTCTTAATTACTGAGTACGTGTATATAACCAGCACCCAGGTCAAAAACAGAACATTACCTAAAAATAGGGATAATTTAGTACCAGATTAACTCTGCCCTAAGGATTTACTCTTTTTCTAATTCCATTGATTATAAGATGCTCCATTCATTTAATACAACTTTTGGAGGAAGAGGAAAGTAGATATTACATTTAATGAATATATTGATAGTTAGAGATATCCTGATTTCAGAAATAAAAAATGATATGTTTAAATTGAGAAAATATGTTATCTATTTTATACCTCTATTATAAAAAACATAAAACTGTTTGCAAAGATCCTAGTAAAAGTCTGCTAAGTAAACTATTTAGAAATAGTGCCATTTTTATTTATTAGGAACTCTCAATTTGTTGCCAAGAATAATAATAGCACCAGTCAGACCTGTGATTTGATCTGGTGCCCATATTTGCCAACCCCTAACAGCAAGCCTAACTGCTTGATTTATGACTGAACCTGGAAAGAAAGACAAGCACACACATAACCAGAAGGACAGTAACTTGGTCTGTAGGCTGAGCAGAGAAGTAGCCCCAGGGTTTGGATCAGAACTTGAGTGGCAGGTGTTTTGTTGTGTAGTATAGCTTTCCAATCTTTCCTTAGCAGTCCGGTCTACATTAGACAGTTCTACATAGATAAGGTTGTCTCTTAGACCATAGCTTTGTTTTTTTTAAATTTTATTGAGTTATAGTATACAAATAGGAAAGTACAGTATATGTGTTATATATTTACAGCTTGTTGAATTTTCAAAAACCAAATACATGTATGTAGCCAGCATCCCCAAAGTGTTCCTACTGCTCCCTCTGGCCACTACCTCCTCCAGGGGTAGCTATTAATAGTATCTTGGTTTTTAATACCAGAGGTTGTTTTTGCCAGTTTTTTTTTTTTTTTTACATGCTCTAAGTGAAATTATACAGTATGTATTCTTTTGTATCTAGCCTTTCTTCTTTTCCAAGCTTATACCTTTATTTTATTTTTTCTTGCAGTGCACTGGCTATAATTTCCAGTACAATGTCTAATAGAAGGAAAGCTAGCAAACTTTCTTGTTCTATTTCCAACCTCAGGATTTGAAATCTGTCTCTGCATTTATTTATTCATTCATTATTGAGGTGACATTAGTTTATAACATTGTATAAGTTTCAGGCGTGAAACATTATGATTTGACATCTGTATATAGCTCAGTAACTATCATCTTTTTTTTTTAAATATATTTTATTGATTTTTTTACAGAGAGGAAGGGAGAGAGATAACCAGAAATGTCAATGAGAGAAAAACATCGACCAGCCACCTCCTGCACACCCCCCACCGGGGATGTGCCCACAACCAACGTACATGCCCTTGACCGGAATCGAACCCGGGACCTTTCAGTCCGCAGATGACGCTCTACCACTGAGCCAAACTGGTTTCAGCAACTATCGTCTTTTTGATAGTACATTTTAGTGTCTCCCATATTGTTGATTATGGCTATAGATTGCTTATCTCCAGATTGTTCTATCCTGGGAATAGACCACTGTTTATTTACCCATTCTACCCGTATTGAACTTTTTGGTGGTTTCCAGATTTGGCTAGAATGCATAGTGCTGCTGGGAACATTGTAGTACATAACTCGGTGAACATAGGTATGCTAAGTAGAATTGGTGGCTTTTAATAGCTTTTTCATTTGTTTTTTTCCATACCTAGTCAAAAAAAAAAAAAGCCACAATTTGCTGATATCAGCACTTGGCATATGGGTGCTCTTCTTTCTGAATTGCGTGGTGACTCAATCAGACTTTAACTCCAAATCAACCAATCCTTATTGATTCAGGAAAAAAACACCTGTTTTTGATAGTTTTTAAAGATTCTGGATGGCAATTGTGATTATTTCAGTGGCAGATCATTTGGGAGATTTTAGGACAAGTATGGCTGAAATAAACATTCTCTCAACAGAGCTTGTTGGACTAAACTAAAGAACAGTGTTGTGTGTTTTTTTTGAAAGTCTAATATGCCAGGGAACAGGTTAAGTGAGCAACTGGGCGGATTACCTAAACTCTAATGAGGGGCTGGCTTTCCTATGGAAAAGCTGGGCGATTGTGGTCGTGGCCTTGGGATGACGGTGGGTTTACAATGAGATGCTCCCCTCCAAAGCTTCAGGCACATGAGCCACACAGGCCTCTGCCTTCAAGTCGTGGGCTCTTTGCCTGCACCTGACGCCTGTAAAGGGATCCATGTAGACTTTCGGGGTTGAAGACATAACTCCCTCACCCCCAACCCAGAAAATAAGGCCTTTTCCTTATTATAATGGTTTGCATATCAGTTAGAGAAAAGGAGGGGGTTTAGTTGGGTACTTTCCATGGGGATTTCAGAAATTCTGTATTATGCTGTGTCCTTCCGAAGAGATAAACTATCTCTTGGTATTTTCACATTGTAATTTTAAAGTAATGCAAAAATAATAAGACTCTTAGATCAATGAAAGCAAGTATAACTCAAGGGTAAGCTTAATGAACAGGGAACAGAAGTGAGGTATTTTGACAGACACTGATTTCCAAAGAACAGGTGCACACAGTGGCTAAAAATAGTGTGTTGTCAGTGTTAGTGAAAATGTAGTTAGAAAAATAACCAAGATTTCTTTTCTAAAATCAGGCCCCTAATAACTTACAGAAATATGGGGTAGTTTAAAAATGTGCATTTGTAAAAACCCAATCCGTGTGCATCTCCTAGAAGTTTGTAATATTCATTCACTCACACATAAACAGGTTTTGTTTTTTTTTTAACAAAGCTTCTTAATCCACTTGGCTAATTCCAACCTTGTACACAGTCTGTGAGACAAGGAGGGTGGGAGTCACAGGACAGATGGCATTGGGTAGATGAATACACCAGCTCCATGGTCCAGACTTTTACAAGGCCCCATGGCTACCGCAGAGCCAAGACCAGGGCTTCCTTGCTTCTGGTCTTTACTCCCAGTGTTTTTCATAGGCAGGAACAATCAACTTTATGTAAGTATATTAGTGTTGAAAATGTTTACAATTAATATCATTTACCTAATTGTCATATACCTCAGAATGGTTATGTCACTTGGGAGAGGCATTGTAAAAGTAGAGGTTTAGTATCATAAGTAAAATAAGTTCAGGGGTCAGGCTGCCACAAAATTCTGACTCTACCACTTACTAGCTATTGCTTAATCTTTTCTCATCTGTAAAATCCACCTCATGAGTCAATGCATGTAAATGAACAGAATAGCACACACACACTATATATATATATATTTTTTTTTAATTTTATTTTTTATTTTTATTTTTTAGAAATCATTAGTCAAAGAACAGCAAGTATTAGTATATCACCCCCTTTTATGGTGGTGATTGAGGCTCAGAAATGAGAACATGTAAGCTAAGACAGGAGAGAAGCTTACCTCCACTAATTTTTTCTGGTGGGGGAGGATTAATATTATAAAATCAAGTGTCTATATTGCCTAAATAGCACAATGGTTTGGGTAAAAATTTTCTTATTTTACTTTAACCTTTTAAGTATGACATTTTTTGACAAGGTTTGTCACCCGAGTAGAGTAGTATTTTCCTAAATAGAGATGTTACAATATTGTTGGAAATTCTTTGTAATTCATTTTTGGCAGGCTTACCTGTATGTTTGATCCCTGTAAAAACTAACCCTGTTCTTCTATAGTATTGATTTGTGTTCAGCTTGCTTAGAACTGTTCATTGCTTATTTTATGATGTCGTTTTATTCCATTGATTTGTATACTGATGTAATTGTATACTGTAATTGTATACTGATATGAACTTTCTTTAGGTCCATCTTCTTGAATACTATTGGTGGTGCCCCTTTTTGTTTGTTTTTGTTAATTCTCACCTGAGGATATTTTTCCATTGATTTTTTTTTCTTCTTTTAGAGAAAGTGAAAAAGAGAGGGAAAGACAGAGAGAAACATCGATGTGGGAGAAACACATCCATTGGTTGCCTCCTGCACACACTATGGCCAGGGAGGAGCCTACAATCAAGGTACATGCCCAGAATCGAACCCTTTGATCCACAGGCCAACATTCTATCCACTGAGCCAAACCGGCTAGGGCAGTGGTGCCTTTTTGGTAGCTCTCATCATTGAGAATGTCTTGCAAGAGTTAATTTTGTGTAGTTAAAAGAAATAAGAATAAACAGGCTTAGAGAAACTAACAGCTGTGTTTATTTTGCTCTGGACAGATTTGGAGACCCATCACTGCCACCTTTTTCTTCCCTGTGGGTCCAGGAACTGGATTTCTTTATTTGGTCAATTTATATTTCTTATATCAGTATTCTACACGACTAGAAACAGGTACGTTAACCATAATTGTTGTAGGTATTGTTTCTTTTTAACTTGCTAAACCGTTTACTTGGAGGAATTTTGAGGGCAGTTAGCTTATATAAAGAGATGGCATAATGAGAATAAGTGCCTAGGAAGTGATAGCTGTGCCAGGACTGAACTAGGCACTGAGAATATTTGATTTATTGTCCTCCCAATAACCTCATGAGGTATAAGTAGCAGTGTCCCATTTCGGAGATGAAAAAAATCAAAACCCAACACATCCAGGGGTTTACAGATCTTGCCCATGGTCCTTAGTGGCTGTGCGATTTGCCCTTCACCGAACTTGACATCTTACTCATTTCTGTCACACAGCAAACCTTGTCCTTTAGTGCACAGTTGGGCTGACGTGTATATGTCTCCTAGATTGAGGTTGAAAAACAATACCTATGCAATTAAGAGCTTAGACTTAATCTCTGAAATTGAAACACTCAACTTTAAAATATACAGCCAGGATTTAGTGACATGGTAATTTATCAGAAATGACTCCTTATATGATGTTATGGATAAGCTCTCTTATAAAAACCTTTTCTTACAAGGTTTCTTGCGGATTGTTATTTATTTCCTACAATAGCTTGTATGCTTTTCTGAGTTGCTTATCCTGGGAAGCAGTAAATTGATACTGCTGTGTCAAAATGTGAGCATAATGATTTTGAAAAGGCTGGCTGACTTCAGATTTCATAAACCTGCTGGCTGTTAGCTCAGGATGGAGAATTCTGAGCCATCCTTAAATCTGTCAGTTGGAGTATGGCGAATCCGTCTCCTAACTGCAGGGAACTACAAGAATGGGCATTTATGTGTCAAATATAATCTTTCCTTAAATTGGTATTTGCTACTATGTGCTTTTTAAAAAGAAAAACACTGTTACATTAATACTGTATCAGGCCATAGGATGTTACTATTGGGAGAGTCTGAGCCCATTTTCTTAGTGTTCTAGAGGAGAACAGGAACTTCAAGGAATTAAAATGAACTTGGCTGAGGTGAAACGCACAACAGGATTCTAAGGGTTGGTTCCTGAAATCTACCAGAATAGATGATTTTCATTCTCCTTGTCCCAGTGGGCCCTGATTAGCATTCTACCCCACTGATATAATTCAATTGAGGATTAAGTTGTTGTGGTAATATTTCTTTTATACCAATAGTAAACTCTACGTTAAATGTAGATGACCTATGAGCAGTTATTGTACATAGCTTGTTAGAAGCCATGTAACTGCACCATATACCAGGCTCTGTCTTATTCCTGGACAGAAAACCAGTTTTTAAAACAATTTTATTATGGAAAAATTTCAAACATTTATAAAAATAGAAAGGTTAATAATGAACCTTTTTTCTTTTTGAAAAAAAAATTCACGTAACATAAAGTCACCATTTTAATCATTTGAGAGGCCATAATTTTGGAAATTTCTTAAAAAACGAAGTCATACAATACAGGGCCTATGGAATCATGATTATCATCTTTCACTTACCATCGTTTTTTCAAGCTTATTTCTTTTTATTGCCAAATAAGATTGTATTGTATTAAAAAACACTTTGTTTTTCCATTTATCAGTTGATGGGCATTTGCCTCTTCGGTTTTAGGCTGTTATGAATAATGTTGCTGTGAACATTCTTGTGAGAGGAACTTTTAAGGTCTTTCCATTTAAATAAGATTTTACAGGCAAGAAAACACTGATCTGGAGAGGTGGTGTCATGCCCCAGAGTTCACAAGTAGGTGAGATAGAACAGCCAGGACTGCAACCCAGGTGTATTGATTCCTTTCCTTCCCTCACCATGCAGCCTCAAGGAAACATGGGACAAAGTGTTTGCCATAAGCATATTTTCCCGGCTGAATTAAGTCTATAGCAGTGCTGGCTTATTTGTATTTTTTGATTTATACTGAAGACTGCAATTGGAGGCTAGTTAATTTGTAAATTCCCAGTTGCAAGCTTGCCAAAGAATAAAGTACTGTAGTTTATGGGAGTATTTTAAGTTTTCAATCTAAAGAACCTTTAGAAACCACAAAGCCAAAACCACATAAAAAAGGAGCAAAACTATCATTAAAATTCAGAAACATGTGTTAGAATTGCAGCTCTAATTCATCCAAGTGATCCCTATCATTAAGCATCCTTACCACTGTGGCTAAAGTGTGCCTCTGACATACCAGCAGAGAGGTAAGGGGGAAAAGAAGAGACATTTATTGGAAATTTATTTATTTATTATAGATTTTTCCCCCCCATCTTTCTGACATTTGTCAGGATTGTTTTAAATTAGAGGGAGGTAAGGAAAGCGCTTGAGCTAGAGTGACCTTACAGTCACTTGTTTCTTTTTTCTGTCTTTTCTAGTCTTCTAGCCTAATGTGTGAGGACTCCCCTTAGAAGGGAGAGCTAGGCCATGTTGATTTTTCTGCCAAGGAATAAGACAGAGCCTGGTATATGGAGCAGTGACAGGAGCCCTAAACTGGTAATTAGACTCCACTCTGCTTCTAACAAGCCATGTAACTGCTCATTTAGCTTTATTTCCTCATCTGTCAAAAGGGAATCTAGGACTTTTCATTCACCCTCCCAGGCATAATATGAAGGTTAAAGTCAGAGGCTATGGAAAGGTTTGCTTGCCCCCCACAGTGCTCTCTTGCTTGAGTGTAAGCTCAGTAAGCCCAGTGCTGGACCAAGTGGAGGTGCTTACTTAATTACTGTAAGTACCTCCCAGCACAGTCCTCCTGCGGTTAACACAGTGGTAGGCAAGACAGATATGGTTCCTCCCCTGACAGACAGAGCTTACGGTCTAATGCAGGGAGAAGGGATTAACCAAGTACAACAAATGCGTCTTGGGGTCATGATGAGCCATGAAAGAAAGCCTGATGGGCCCTGATGGCGTCTGGGCATCTCTGGAATCGAGTCCTCTCTTTGGGTCTCTTAGTGTGAGGCCATCAGAGCGTGGTACGTATTGGGAAACTCAGGTCAGCCTTCCTAGGTGACTATTTTAGGGCTTTATTGTGACATGGATTTAGATAGTTTTAAAAATTTTATTGGAGAGGACTGATTTTAAAATATTCTCATTTTGGCTTCTATGATGTTTAAAGCATTTCTCTACATAGAAGTGATTTGTTTTCTGAATTTCTGAACCATGACATTTGGCTTATTTTTGTTTCTAGGAGCCTTTGATGGGAGGCCAGCGGACTATTTATTCATGCTCCTCTTCAACTGGATTTGCATCGTTGTATCCTTCAGTCTATTATTTTGGGCCCGAAAGAAACCAGTTTTTCTGTGTGTGTATGTGTGTGTTTTTGGGCTTTTTTTTTTCTTCAGGTTTGGGAAAACAGTGTTTGGTGAGACACTTCAAATGACTGTATTTGCATCTTTGTTTACTGCAGTTAATAAGAGTCATTGAAGTTCTTTTTAAACACTGTAATAAATCATTAGAGCCCTGAGTGAAGCATTCTCTTGCCATTGTCTCTGTGGGATTTGCCCACATTTGGTCGTGTTTTATTATTGTTTCCTCTTCTTGATCCCAGTTCTCTGTGTCTCATGTGTGACAGCTTGTTGCTTGCGCACAAAGAGGCCCTGGGCCCTGAGACAGCTTTTGAAATCTGTGGTTCTGATCAGAAAATTAATTTACAACTGGCATTCTTTTCTGACCTCTTTGCTGTCCTTGTCTTGGGGTCCTAAGTAGTGATGCAGTCCCTCCATAAATACCCTGGGAAACGACACGCATGTGTCTCTGCTGTGTTTCAACCACAGTTGTTAGCAGCCCTCCAGCTGCAGACCTTCACAGATGGCGAGAGACGCAGAGGGGACTTAGTGGCTCAAGTCCTTGCTTTGGGGCTTAGCTTCCATTGACACATGGCCAAGAGCCAGAAAACGTGGCACTTTGGATGCCCTTTTCCCTCCTTGAAGGGAAGAAAAAATATCTTGGACTTCAGCCACACTGTGGAGCCCTGAACATGTAGAATCATTATTTGTCTCAGAGGGCACAGGCATCTCCATCCTCTACTTAAAGGAGCAGTGCTAAAGTGCAGAGGCGAGGTGAGGGGAAGAGGACAGAGGTGACCAAACTGAGTCACATGCCAAAGCAGGTAATTTCCACCATCTCCTTGTCATCATATAGACTGATAGAATATTGGGAACAAAGATTATTAGACACCTTTGTGCTCTGGATGTTTTAAGCCACCTGAAGTATAGAAAAGTGTGTTCCTTCAGAACACTGGAAGGAAATGAACTTTTACTGGGTGCAGAATGCTTTCTTTGATCTTTAACGTTACAAACCAAGATTACTGGCTTAGCAATGGACATGCAGGTAAGTTGCAATTCTCCATTTGTCCTTTTGTATGTTTCAGATATACAATTAAAGGCCTTTGACAGAAGCTGAAATTGCATTAACTGTGTGGTTAATTATGTGATATTTTGAAATAATAGAATTATAGTTATTTTTATTTTGAAGATCCTACATGAGTTAGCTAAGCCATTACTTTTCTCACTCACTCCTGGCTCTTTTATTATGTTTGAACATTGAGAATGATGGGTATCTAGTATTTTTTTAAGCACATAAAGGATATACATTTTATAAAAATTTAGAATATACAGTTAGTAAAGCTTTATGCCTACTTTTGGCCCTGATACTTCTGAATCTGTTAAAATAATATAATTGCTATTTTTTATTATAGGACTTTGTAGCATATGTTTATAACTCATTAGAAGGATCTACTTACAGTTTTGATGAGTTGAATTTTTTTTGCTTTTTGAATGGCCCTCTAAGGGTTTGTTTGGAGGGGGGAGGTGAAAAGGTAGATTCATACTAAGCCGCTTTTTAGGGCCCCTGGAGCCTGGTCCTTACATATTGATTATTTTGCAGTTGCTGATGATTCCTCTGATCATGTCAGTGCTCTATGTCTGGGCCCAGCTGAACAGAGACATGATTGTGTCATTTTGGTTCGGAACACGATTTAAGGTTTGTAGCCTCGTTGGGAAAATTTCCTTTTCATTTGTCTATAGAAATCCCTCTTCAGCCCAGAGATGTACTTTCTGATTCATCCAGAAGAGGTCAGTGCAGAGCAGTGTACCAATGACAAGTCCCTTCTTGCCTTCTCAGTCCGTCCGGTCGTCGTCCTCGTCGTCGTCGTCGTCGTCGTCGTCGTCGTCGTCGTCGTCTGTGTGTGTGTGTCCCCGTTTCCTCAGCCAACCCAGAGTCCTTTGCTGATTGCCACTTCTCACTCCCTCTACGTCAGGTTCCTCAGCCATGTGTCCCTAGAGATCTCCTGTGTGTGTGTGGCAGTGAGAGGGAAGGAAAGATACTCATGTGAAATGCTCTCTTTTAAAGTGTGTTTTTATCACTCCCTGTTATATATTTTATACTTTGGAAAAAATTTGTTTTTGTTTGCCCTCAAACACTTTTGTGCTTTCTCTCACAGTTTTTCACCTGTAACATTTTTTAAATTATCTTACTCCTGCAAATCCTATTTGTTCTTAACTGAACATACTTATTTCCTGAGTCACCTGCCTGGAATTAGTTGTGCCTTTGGGCTTCTGTAATGTTTTGTGTTTCTCTTACAGTAATTACCATGTTCTGCCTTCACATTATCTAGGTATAACCCTTTCTTTCCTGGTTTATAAAGTCTCTTAACTCTTGGTATGATGTCTTGATTCTTGTAAGGGACTCAAGTGTTCAATTTATCTGGAGAGTTGTCTTATTTGGGAGAGAATTAGTTCAAGATATCAATGTATATCGAGGTAAAAATTCAACTAATTTTGTGAAATATGCAAAAGGAAAACCACAAAAGATGGTGTATTTTAAATTTATTGGTAACAATATGCTGGTTGGAGTCATGATGAGATTCTATTACAGACCGTGGTTTTAATAGCATAGGACACTCACCTACTTTCTGGATGACAATATTAACCTGATTGTATTGCATTTGAAACTATCAGCAAGGAGTTCTGTCTCTCCAGTAACTGATCTAGGAATAAGTATAATTTTAGAAAGGAAGTTTTAAGTATAATAGGAATGATGCTAGACTGATCTGAGAAATTTTGGGTATGACTTTTCAAAGGATTCATTAAAGCCCTTGTCAGAACATTCTTACCCATTCCTGCCCACTCTGTATCCCCTTTAAGTGTGGTTACTCACATGTGTATCTATTCTTTTCTAGGCCTGTTATTTACCTTGGGTTATCCTTGGATTCAACTATATCATTGGAGGCTCGTAAGTGATAGTAGATGTATTTATTTATTTATTTTTTTGAGAGGGAACAAGCATTTATTTGAATTCAAAAGAAAAGCTATTTGGAAAGCACTGATTCAGGCAGAAAGCCAAATAGTGTTCCCTGTTAGATTTATTTAATTGGAAACTAATCCTTGGACGACTTCCATTCTTTTTTATCTTCCTTCTCTAATTTTATGAAACTTTAAAAAACCTCAACATTGAAGCATTGGAACCTTGTCTTACAGACTAATTTTATTTTGATGTAATTGATTAAGCTGTAGGGCTTTAAGTACATTTTAGCATTGAGTGATTGTTTTTTGTTGTTAGTTCTTTATGATAGTAGGCTTCCATATATGTGTTTTTGAATAAATATTCATTTCTGGATTCACTGTCCAGATTGAGCAAACAGATCTAATTTGTGTCTGGACTGACTACTCTAAGAGCTATGCCTACAGAAACTGTGTTCTTTAGTGTTAATGCCTTGGAAATGGCTCCCCAGTCACAGAAATGCATATTCTCAGATGGGAAGTAACTGGGTGAAGAGTAGAGAAGTTTTGACCAAACAGGGTTAAATTTCTAGTCTGGAATTAGGATGAAGACTTAGGAAAACCTAAGGAAGAGGATATCACCAGGCAGCTATTCTGAGAACTCCATTTCTTACACTACAACATATTTTTAATGTTCCAATTGATTCTAATAGTACTATACTAGTCCCTAGCATGTTTGACATATTTGCTCTGTGTGGTCCTAACTTCTGCTGCATACTGATAGGGAGAAGTGAATGAGTCAAGCAAGCAGACTGTTTAGAGAGCAGCTACTTATGAGCTTGGTAAAGCCACCCTGCTCCCCAGAAGGACAGACTGGGAGCAGTTGCACATGCTGGTTTGTCCCTGCCAGAATCATGTTGCAGTGAAGACAGAAAGATATGCAAAAGTATGAGTGGATCTATAAAACCTTGCAGTGGCCTCTGTGTAAGCCATGGGAGAACTGAAGAAGGCCAATGCTTATTTTAGGATTACAAGGTGAAGGTCACATTTCCAAAGTGATCTCCGTGATGGCTTACACCAGCATACGGGAAGCGAGGGCGAGTGCTCACTGGCCCCAGGAATGGGGAGCAGGCGTCTCTCCTTTCCTCGCTCCCCATTCTTCTTTCTTGCTGGTCTTCATTGTTCACCATGTTTTGCAATACAGTATTCATACTTGGAAGATTTTGGGAGTTTGCAGCTTCCCCTACTCTTAAGGCAGGAAGTAGCAGAAACAATATTTTGAGGATGGGCTGGGACTTGAAAGAGATGTTAAAGGGGCAGCCGGCCTTGAGCACAGACCCCATTGGTCCAGCAGGCCTGGCTTCCCTTCTCCCTCTAGATGCGTTTGCCAGTCTACAGCTCACTTTCAAGCTGTCACCGGTCCCAGGGATCACAGTGGGCTGCCAGGAGGATCTTCTCCCTGTGCTGTTAGTTAAAACTCACTGCTTCTCACGTCACTGCTTGAATGTCTTTAAACCACATGTGTCAAACACAAGGCCCTCGGGCCAAATCCGTCCCGCCAGGCCTTGCAATGTGGCCCGCACTGCGCTGTCATCACTGCACTCCGCTGTCATCACTGCACTCCGCTGCGTTTCCATCACAATGACAGTTTATGACTGTTCAGTAAACCATTCGGCCCGCGATTTAGGCTGGATTTTAGATTTTGGCCCCTTCTCTGATTGAGTTCGACACCCCTACTTTAAACTAACTTGTCTCTCTGTTTGCAGGGTCATCAATGAGCTCATTGGAAATCTGGTTGGACATCTTTATTTCTTCCTCATGTTCAGATACCCAATGGACTTAGGAGGAAGAAATTTTCTGTCCACACCCCAGTTTTTGTAAGTGTTTTTTCCCTCTTTCTTGTTTAACAATCATTTTACTGTCTGTGTTCTGACGTATCCTGATAAAAACTCGAGGAAAATAGGACTTACCTCTCTGTCTGATGGGAAAATGTGAGCCAACAAATGAGTTGCCCTGGTCACAGAGTCAGGGAGCCAGGAATGAAAACCACAGCTCAGTCTTCTTCACAGAGCCTTACCCAGGGGCCACTGAGACCAGAGCCAGCATCACAGGGAGCTATGGGCAGCGCCAGTGTGCACAGCCGGGGGCCAGGAGGAAGGCTGTCAGTTTCTCCCAAGAGTTTGGGTGAGGATTGGTGATGGTTAATAAGGTCACTGCTTAGTAAGGTCACAGTTTTCTATTAAATATTACAGATTATATTATTTATGGAACTTCTCAGAATTAAAACGACAGACTTGAGTTTGTATAGTCGTCTGTTTTAGGGTTTACTCAAGTGAGGAGGCCGAGGACACAGCCCTGGCTTTGAGACAGACCAGTTTTGATATTGGGAAACTTGGTCGAACCTCTGAGCTTCCATTTGCCAGTCAGTCAGCTGAGGGGAGCCCCAGCTCACAGGACTGTTGGCAGCACAGTAGTGGAGCTTCAGCAAATACAGGTTCTGGGCCTGTTCCTGACATTGGGATGTAGGGCGGGAGAGATGCTGACACACTCAAGGTACAACGTAAGTAGTATGACCATTATGTCCGTGAGGCAAAAGACTGCCTGGCAGTCACGCCCTATCTCCAGTTGGGATATGCAGTAATAGCTTGCACTTAAAAAGCTTAAAAAATTCACACACCAGCCCTTTTCACATCGTGCATGTTTTAATGTTTTGTAGTTTGTCATTCTTAAAATTCATTTATAGATTAGGGATAGGTTTTTAAAGGAATTTTATTATAAATATAATATACAGAGAATTACACTATTGTGTTTTTTGTTTGTTTTCTCCTTTAAGAGCATAAAAAGAAATTTGTTTCTCTTCTGAGTCTTGAGTTGCCTCCAGGCTAAAAAACAAATGACCAATCTGCTTTCTAATTATCAAAGGACACACAATAACAGCAGGCTTGGAATTTTGATCTAGGTCTGTCAAGTCAGATGGCAGATGCATCCATTAAAATAAAAACGTGGTGCTTTGGGGAACAGCCAACAGTTACTATACTTTAAATGGTCATATTCTAACGCCAAGGCATGACACTTCTCAATTGCGGGCAACAAAGTAGAGGAGATTCTGTGGCAGAAACGGCAGCGCGTGGAGCCTGCCTTGCATTTGAGCGAGCTCTCTGCTGGTGGAAGCCCTTCTGTTAAGTTTTGCATAAAGATCATATGACAAAATGTAGCTCCTTGCAAAAACAGGAACTGCTTTGAAATTACCATAACTTTTTGTTGATTATGTATAATTGGGTGTCTTTTTATACTAATTGCTTGCATTTAATTTCACTGTCTGTTTAAGCAATGGAGATGGCTTCCATATTGTCTTACAGTAAGAACCAAAGCAAAACGGCCCGAGCACTGCCTGCTTTAAGTTTTCTGTTTTATTATGCACTATGAAGGAGCATTATCATACCAGAACATCATGGATATCAAGAAACAGTGCTTGGAAATGCATTTTGATTTAAAGCTAGAGCTGTATTCGTTGAAAGGGGAAGATGAGAGTTGTAGAATTCTAAGATGCATCACCATTCTGCATTCCATCTAGAAAAGTAGGCAGACTCTCTTCTCTGCTGTATGCAGTTATTTTTCTTAAAAGGGGCCCGTTGTCTTTTTGGGAGGGAGCATGAAGGCACATGGGTGACGGCTGCAGTCCCTAACTGCTGTCACTAGATCCACCTGTGTGTCCCGTTGCAGCCTGGGCTGTATTGGGTGGTGCAGGGTAGAGGCCCCAGAGCCATCCTGACTGTCGATTTAGAAGAGCTTTACTCAGTCTTGCCTCAGTTTTCCCGTTTATGAAATGGGGTCATAGTAGTGCCTACCTCCTAGGGCTGTGAAGGTGAGATGAATTTACTAACATGTACCTGGTGTAAGGGAAACACTGTAAGGTTGTGCTCTGCGGGCAAGTCACCCCTCACAGTTTAAACAGGTATCATACACGGGCTTCTTCAAGCAGAACTTTAAACTAAGGATCTAGTGAGTGGAATAAGTGTAAACATAGTCTTCGTTTCCTACTAGTCAAGGAAGGGAAATCTTTGGAAAAACTGAGAACCTGGACTTTTATTTAAGTTTCTTAGCTGTTCTGTGACTTAATTTATGAAACTATAAGGTGGCAAACCAGCTAACCTCTTTGGGCTTCAACTTTCCCACCACCTATGAGATGGATGCAGTTGGAGGGCAAGTGACGAGTAAACTTTAAAATATACGCATACCTCCAGGAGGTAACACATGGTCAGACACCGTGTGGGGCTGAACACAGGTTGCACATTTGTCCTTGGAAAGTGAATTTATTTTGTAACCTTTGATCCAGATGCATATTATCAAAATGCAAAAACACTGCATAATAGCATAATAGGTGTTTTTTTTTTTTGTTTTTTTTTTTTTTGGTGGCCGGGCTTGTGGGAGTAATATCTTTGTTTTTGCACTGTTCTGCATGAATTATTTTGCTAATCAGAGGGAAAAAATTTTAGAGTGTAAATTTAGCCAAAAACAGTAAATTTACGAAGCCTGAAAGTGAGTGCTGAAAAGGCAAGTTAGTAAGACATTGAACTCAGCCTTCTGTTGGCCACAGCCAAATACAATTCAGTGTGACAGCCAGGGGACCGGGGAAGGTAGCCAGTGCTAGATGGCCTGACAGCCCTGCGGAAGTGACTTTGTTGTCTTCTCTCCCTTTGTTCCCCGCCTTGCTCCAGATACCGCTGGCTGCCCAGCAGGAGAGGAGGGGTGTCCGGATTCGGCATGCCCCCTGCTAGCGTGAGGCGAGCAGCTGATCAGAATGGTGGAGGCGGCAGACACAATTGGGGACAGGGCTTCCGACTTGGGGACCAGTGAAGGAGTGGCCTCCAGCCTGCCCACCAGCCACTCTGCTCAGATGAAGTTTTCCTCCCAGTGCTGGGTGTGCTCAGCAACTGCGTCCCAGCAAACACTGGTGGACCTGACCCACACTGAATGTAGTCTTTCCGTACAAGACACCATTTTTTAAATCCTGAAGAAAATATAAGTGTTCCTCAAGTTTCGTGATTCTCACTCAAGTCCTTTCTGCTATGAAGAACAAACATCAACTGTGCAAATTTCAGAAATGACTATGGTGTTTGGTGTCTCCTCTTCCTTTTCCGTCCGAATGATGGGTTTTGCTAGGTCCTGGTCTGCTGTCACCAACCTGGGCATCTGTGATTGGGCCACCAAATGCTTGTCAAAGGGACTCTTACCTCTTTCTTACACATGCCTCCCTTTTCCTTTTTCCACCCCCATATTTTCAGCTAGAGGAGTTGCCCATAAAATGGTTCTGCCTTTGACAAGCTCTCTTATTTATTGACTTTTGCCAAGGCTTGGTCACGGAAACCTTGTTTAGACCATTCTTCCCCTTTGGGGGCAGAGTGTAACAGTAGTGGAGACGATGAACAGGGGACCAAGAGCTTTTTCTCAGCTTTGCAGTCCTGTGACCTGGTATCAGTCGCAGCCACTTGCCAGCTCTTCAGATGTTTTGATAATAAAAAGCACCGCTGGGTCAGTGAGGGCTGCAGATTGGTATTAATAAGGCATGAAAGTGTTGCTAGGCACTTTTTTCCTAAGTGACCACAGCTATAGTGGAGTTGCGTCTTACACAGAGGCTAGTTTTTTTTTTGTGTGTGTGTGTGTTTTTAAAAAATATATTTCTTTGTTGATTTCAGAGAGTAAGGGAGAAGGAGAGAGAGATAGAAACATCAATGATGAGAGAGAATCATTGATTGGCTGCCTCCTGCACGCCCTCCTGCTGGGGATCCAGCCCGCAACCCAGGCATGTACCCTTGGCCGGAATCGAACCTGGGACCCTTCAGTCTGCAGGCTGACGCTGTATCCACTGAGCCAAGCCGGCCAGGGCCACAGGGGCTCCTTTTAAACTGTGGTGGGATAATCCCTTTGCATCTGATGGTGAGGCATCCTGGCTGTGTGTGAATCCAGAGTAGCTGGGTTGTATTGTGCTAGAAAATTCCAAGTCACACTTCACCGGGAGATGCTGTCTTTGAGAGGCCTCTGGGTGCTGATTCCATTTCATTCTCATTCTAGCTATATGTTTACTAAGTAGAGTGGTGGGAAAATCTTGTGTCCTTTTTAAGACGTCATTTTTTGGCCTCTCTTCCCCCTTTTATGGCCACATACGTCAGTTAATTGTGAGGAGGGTGTAGCTCCTCTGTATAAAGATCATTTTAAGAGCTAATGCAAGCAAATATGAGTCACATCATTTTGGGTTGTAATGGCTTTAGAATCATTGTGATTGAGGCTCTTTATCATATTGATTCACAAATGTACATCAGAGCAACATAAATACATTTTCTGCTAATATGTGGGATTTTCCATCAGAGCTAGGCCTGTCACCGAATAAAGGGTTTTAAACATGTTCCTCACAGTTTCCTATTTGATGTTTTTATTCCGGAAGCAGATGGCTAGGAACAGCGTAGAGTGGCTGCCATACTTCAGACAACTTTTTTAAAGGCTTCGGACATTTCGATCAGGTTAATTTTGGGAAACTGCGCTAACAGGATGGCTAGACTTCACTCCACTCTTAAACTGTGATGTGTTATTTGAGGAAGTGGGGTTTGAAAACAGCTTTTTAATCAAGTTTGTGTGTATTTCTTCAGACTTAATTTATATGGTAAAGTAGAAGAGAAGGTGGAATGTGAACCTTAACTGTCAGATGTTCTGCTGCTGACCTTGGCCACAATAAAAGGCACTGGTGAAGTGTAGACGCCCATTTTCCTGTGACGTTGCATGTGCCCTCTGTGCAGGAGTGGGAATCGCTGTCAGAAGGGACTCACGGGCAGTGAGTTGGAGTCTCATATGCCCTCTTAGCAGTTCGACTGCCGAGAGCAGAGGTGTTTCTAAAGGTTGTTACAGAATTCTTCAGATCAAGGCAAAATGTTCCTCAAATTTGTCTTCTTAAATGTGTGTAAGGAGCTGATAATTTTATTAATCTTATTTGGATTACCTATCTCCTGGAAATAATTTTAGCTAAGCAAGCTCTTTGAGATTGATTCGGCTAGGCAAGCTGTGACAGTGGATTCTCTTTATGAATGGAAAAAAAATCGTTATTTTGTGTAGAAAATTCCCTTTTTGTAACCGTTTTTATTGGTTAAAAAATTGTAAATTAAAATGTAAAACTTGATGGTTGTCTGTCATAAGTTTCTGTATGTCTCCTCTGCTCCCTCTTTTGAGATACCACATAATTTCTGTAAACAGCCATCTCTTGGGCATTTAGGAGTGTCCAGTATTTGTTGCTATTATAGTGACATAGCAGTACTTCTGTCCACATGTTCGAGGATTCATCCCTGGCTTTTAGATGGATGAAGCGAGATGTTTTGGAACATTGTGGGAGACAGCTGCAGAGAGGAGGAACTGCAGACCAGGTGACTGAATTCTCAGTGGTTGCTGTGCCAGGCATAAGGTTAAGTGCAGGGATAAGGTTTGATTGAATCCTTATACCTGCGGGCAGGGCTGGATTGAAGAGGCCTCCAGGAGAGAATTGCTGAGACTTAATGAGGAAGAGGAGGGCTTATGTGCAGGGGTTTCCATTGGACATCAGGTCTCGATAGAAGTTTCCCATAGAAACAAGTCTGGTTAAATAATGCTATTTATAGGTACTGTTGGTGCAGCACATTATAAATAATTGGGTGCTGGTGGACCAGCTGGAGGAACTAGCCACCATGCGTGTGTTTCTGCAGAGAAACACACAGTGAATGCTAAACCTGTGAATTTGGAAGTGGGCTTTTAGAACATGATTTCTTCCTGAATGGGGGACAGCTTTGGAGAAGGCCATAGTGCTGTGGTCGGCAAACTGCAGCTTGCGAGTCGCATGTGGCTCTTTGGCCTCTTGTGTGTGGCTCTTCCACAAAATACCACGGCCTGAGCGAAGTTTAGGTTTAAAAAAATTTGGCTCTCAAAAGAAATGTCCATAGCCGTACTGTGGATATTTGGCTCTGGTGACTAATGAGTTTGCCGAGCGCTGCCCTAGTGAAAGAGAAAATTCTCAATTGATGCTGATCACTCTGTCCCCATCCTCCAGGTCCTTCGAGCTTAAACACCATTGTATCAAGGAGAGGTCTTTGTAGATCTGAAGGTGAGGTAGAATGTCTCCCAGGTGGTCTGCCTGCACCATCTCTGCTTTATGATGTCATCACACCCATAGTCATATGTTGAATGTCTCTCCTGTGGCTCTTAGCACACCTTACCACGGTTGTAGGCATAGTACTTAGCGCAGTGCCTGCCTCGTCCAGGTGCTTCTCTCTTTGTGGCACTCACTCACCTGAAAGTTGGACTGGGTAATGGGTTGAGGAGGAACTTGGCCTGCTTAGGGTGAGAGCTAATAGCCTGGTCTCCCAGGAGCTCCAAAGGGTTTTTTGTTGCTTATACAGGGGAATCATAGTCTCCTGAAGGAAGGTATCAGAGGAGGCTGGAGATGTTAGCAAGAATGGATTCAAAATTGAGATACCTTTTAAAAAGCAGTTAAACAACTTCTGTCTTACAGTGGGTACTTATCTGAGCATGGGTATGGATACTTAGGGTGATTTGGGCAAAGGAGACTCTGTGAAGACTAAAGGCAGCAGGAACAATTGGGAAGAGTAACTGAAGGTGTGCATTTTTCTCCCCGAGGCAATTCCCCTCTGACCTGCCCAAATGCATATGCACTGAGAAAGGAGAAACCTCTGCCAAGTCAGAGAGACACCCACAGGGCATGCAGAATTGAATTTAGGTACAAGGCTTAAGGATCCCTTAGGAACTGTCCACTAAGCTCGATTTGTCCCTTGATGCCTTACGCTGACCCAGATGAATTTGATCCTTCTCTCTGCCAGTGTGCTGGCCTTTTCCTGAGGGCTGGTGCTGACACGGTGAGTGTCCCTGTTAATTAAGGGCAGTCACGGTTAGCCTAAGGGACATGAGGATGTTGATGGCAACTGTTGGAGAGAAGAGCAGTAAACCTGGCTCTGAGGATGTAAGATGTGGCTGTCCCCACAGCAGGCCCTTGTCACCTGGAGGGAAGGGTTTTAACTTTCCTGATCCCTGTCATCAGTTAGTGTTCTTTGATTGCTGGTACCCCAAAAGGACTCTGGTTAACTTCATCCAAAGGGACTTTATTGGAAGTAAATAGGACACCTCATAGATTCACAGGGTCTACTGAAAAAGCTGACATGGAAAGGGCCCCACAAGTTCAGGTGGCAGGAATGGGTCTTACCCCATCCGTTGGCTGTCAGCTCCATCTTGAGTTTGTGCTTCCATCTTTCCTATTAGGATTCAAGTCCCAGTCTTACTGGCCTAGCTTGGACTGTGTGCTTCCCCTTGGCCAGGAATTCAGGGGAAACCATTAATGACAGTCCAATTAACACTGCTTGTAATGGGGAAGAGGTAATTTTTTCCCAAAAGCAAATCAAAGTGCTCTTGTTCCCTACGAAGCGGGCAGTAGATGCTGAATGTCTGTACCACCTTTGCTGGCCCCTTTAGCACACGTTAACCACATGCATGGCTTCCTGGAGGAGCCTCTGGCTTTGCCTCATTCCATTCTGGGAACAAGATAGCGTTTCCTCCCATCTCCTCACTCAAGCTCATGTGCAGAACAGGAGAAAGCAGTGTAGATTTTGCTGAAGATTGGGGGAGGGGTGGTGGAAACATCATAGGGAAAGAGACTCCTGCACTTGAGAGTAGGGGTCATGTTTGTCCACCCATTTTATCCCCACTACCTAGCACCCAGCTGGGCTTGCTTAGGCTTCTTGAGATAAATATTCATTGAAGGAATGAATCCATTTCATAACCTAGACTCTCTTCAGCTGTCACCTGGCTCCCTGCCTTTCTCTCCACCCTTTCCCCATATGGCTTTCCAGGGCCTTCTAATGTCTTGGTCAATTTAACTCTGGCTCTAAAATACCACACTCAGCAAAATAAAGGCCTGGTAATTAATCAGACCTACCCATCTTGGAAAGGCTTCTCAAAGGTATTCACCAAAAATGAAGGAAGATTGGATCAAGCAGGGCAGTTCTAAAAAG